CTTTCAGCTTCATCGTTTTTGGGCCATTTATCCCCACCACAGAGCTAAGAGAAAGTTCAACATTACCTTGGGTTTGTTCTTCTGTCGCTCCATCACTAACGCCTACTTCACTCGGATCTAGATCTTCCTCTTCTTCATCAATGAGAATTATTTGAAATTGATTTTCACCATACTTATGGCCGAAAAAATATTTCCCGTCACACTTGAAGCACAACCCCGTCTCCCTCTTTCACTGAATCTCGGCCTCAGTCATTTTTTGAAACAGAAAATCTCACCGCGATGGAGGGGCTCTGTCGAATGATCGAAAAGTGGTGGAAGGGTACTCGCGGGGAGAAGAACTCGCCGATGAACCCAAGGCAGAACCTTCTGCACTTCGTCGCCCAAAAATTGGATGGAGATTGGATTTTAGGGATTCAGTCGAATTAGTCGAATTTGGGAATTTTTGTGAATCTCCGGGTCGGGTCGGGTCAGGTCGAAATCTGGTTAAAGTTTCTAGACCCAATTGTGCTTGACCCAATATTATACCCAGGCCCATTCCACCTATTATTCCTTTCTAGGCCAGCCTTTACTTCTTCTAAAGCCCAATTGCGCTCCTCCATTCTATGGGCTCTCTCTATTGCTTGAAGAAGAGAAGTGGGTTGGATCAATCTTAGTTCAGCCTGAATTTCTGCCTTAAGGCCATTAAGAAACATAGCGTTTAAGATTTCTTCCTTCTCCTCTACCAACAAAGTAGCTACAGCTTCAAACCTGGGTCTGTACTCCGTGACTGTGCTGGTTTGTTTCATGGCCATGAGAGTCTCGTAAGGATTGCTCTCTTAAGATTCGCTGAATCTCTGAATTAAAGCAAGTTTGAACGATGGCCATGAAGTCACAGGTGCCCTGACCTCCATCCATTGATACTAGTTAATGGCTTCCCCTTCCATACAGACTGTCGTCGCTGTTAGCTTCCCTTCATCAGGAATTCCGTTCAGACTGAAGTATCTTTCAATTCTAAAAATCCACTCGTAAGGATCCCCACCCACAAAAATGGGTAATTCCAGTTTCCGTCCTCCTACCTCACTCTAGTTTTGTCCCAAAATCCCTGATCCACTTGCTCTGTTTTGATCTTCTCCTTCATGATTTCTCACGTTCCTTGATGAAGTATGTTCACCACGTCCAACTTCTTCTTCATCTTTTCTCCTCATCCAACTCTGTATCTCAACCATGCGTTCGCGAATAGTTCCCATATCAATTCCCAATTTCGTCACCTCCCGTTCCACATTTTCTAATCTAGATTCCATTCTCGTTGAAACCATAACCCACACACCTGCTCTGATACCAATTTGATGCGAACCTTCCCAGATTCTTTTACTCAACCACACACAAAAGTTAATCACTAGAATATACTCAACAATTCAAGGAAAACATCAAGAATCACAATCTATATAACTCCATTGAGATGTTAAGAATTACACTCATTCAGATTGATTATATCTCAATATCAGAATAACAAGAACATAAACAAACAAAACTATTAAATACTGATATGCTGGACTTCGAGGGCCAGCTACCTCCCCTTCACTATATTCTCATCAGATATCCTTTTCCTTCTTCTATTGCTCTTTTTATTCACTCCTTCCTCCTAACAAAATTCAACAATCCGCCATTCTTCTTTCGCCACTTGTCCACTCAACTTTTTCTTCTCTTCACACGTTAGTTGCCTTTTTATCACAGTTAATCTTCTACTGCTCCTTCCTACGCTTCTTATTATATACTAGCACTTCACGTGTTGCATCACAAACCTAGTCAATATTGCTGCACTGAAGGCTATAATGGATGGAGCCAAAGCTGTGACAATGGCTGATATGGAGTATGCAAAGGACAAGATCATGATGGGAAGTGAACGTAGGTCAGCTGTCATCTCTAATGAATCACAGAAATTGACAGCTTTCCATGAGGGTGGTCATGCTCTTGTGGTCATGCTCTTGTGGCCATCCATACTGATGGGGCGCTTCCAGTTCACAACGCAACAATAGTTCCCCGAGGAATGTCCCTTGGCATGGTTGCCCAATTGCCTGGTAAGGATAAAGCTTGCAAGCATTTCCCACAAGCAAATGCTTGCTCGGCTTGACGTTTGCATCGGGGGAAGGGTTACAGAAGAGCTCATCTTTGGAGAAAATGAAGTTTCTTCTGGTGCGTCTTCTGATCTACAGCAAGCAACTAAACTTGCAAGAGCAATGGTTACAAAATATGGCATGAGTAAGGAAGTTGGTGTTGTCACTCACAATTATGATGACAATGGTAAGAGCATGAGCACAGAGACTAGGCTCCTTATTGAGAAAGAAGTGATATACTTTCTGGAAAGGGCTTATAACAATGCAAAAACTATTCTCACCACCCATAGTCCCATAGCAAGGAGCTTCATGCACTGGCTCATGCATTGCTTGAGCACGAGACGCTTACTGGAAATCAGATCAAAAGTGTACTTGCCCAAAGTCAATTCACAGCAGCAGCAACCTCAGCAGATAGTTGCACAATAGAGCAGTTCACAATCCAACCCAGTGCAACCTCCATCAACTCCTAATCCAGCCGCATCAGCTGCTGCAGCTGCAACTGCTGCAGATAAGGCCAAAGGGATTGCACCTGTGGGATCTTAGTCTGGGAGAGGCTGGTAAGGCCTCGGCTATTTATTGAATTGAATGTGCATAGTTTAGTTACTGACTGGCCTTTTTGTTCGAGAACTGTAGTCCCTTTTCTGGTAGACTATGTCATGTATAACCATGTTTTTCAAAATTGAAGAGAAGCTATAGAAGAAGTTAATGGCAGTAGCATTACTTAGACAAGTTATTTTTAGAGTGAATGACAATTTCCCACCCAAGGTTTAGCATAATTACATTTTCCTACCCTTGATTTTTCATAAAAACACTTTCCCATCCATCGTTAATATGTTAGTGAAATCTGTTATCTATTAAGGATACGATGATTGAAAAGAGATAATACCCTTTCCTATTTGACATTGTAATTTTTAAGGATTTAATTTCATGTAAGTAGAGACAATTACTAGTCTACCCATTTTACAATAATGAAATTACCAATATCCCCTCCCATTTGCACACGAATTTGAACATCATCTTCAACCTAACCATCGCATCTCCTCCTCTGTCCAAGCCTTCACCAAATTGAAAACCATTCAATATCCGTCATCAAACCACGGAAGATCGGTAGTAGAAGGTAAATATATAGACTCAAAGAGAGATTAGAAGCAATCTTTTAAAACTCGACCAGTTTAATCGGTTTGACTGGGAACTAGCCACTGAGTCGGGCCAGGCCAGCCTTAAAATCGGGGGTTTGAGTTCACCTGGTATGACCTGCGGTTGGACCGGGGTCATTGTAGCAAACCGTTGGTCCAATCAGTTTCAGGGGAAAACTGGGTGAACCAAAATTTATATCACGACAACTTTCAGGCAACATCTAGTAGGCAAACATGAATCAGGTTTAGGGGGTTTTGAGGGTTGATCACGATGAGTCGGTAGGTGGTTTCCGATTAAGTTTTAGTTGTCGGAATCGCTAGAATTTGGCCAAGAAACAGTGAAAACCTTGGCTTTTGATTGACTTGGGAACTTTGGGGGTTTTGTAAGGGAGTAGCCAGTTAGTCTAAGGGTGGTGGTGGTTGGAGTTGTTGTCGCTCAAAACGACTGAAAACCGGCAAATGAAAGTCGATTGACATTGTTGTCGTAGCTGACAATCGGCTAGTGATGAGAGGGGATAAAGTGCATGGTTTTGAAAAGGAGAGGGTAAGGGTTCCAAAGGTGGTGACGGGGGTGATTTTGGGTGAGAAAATAGCCAGAAAAAAGGTCGCCATCGACGCGTGCAAACGTGCGTCGATACAAAAAAATTGAAATTTTTTTTATGTGACACGTGTTAAACCAGTCAACCTGAGACCTAGCCACTTTGCTGGGTTTAGCCCCAGGTTGATTTTTAAAACATTGATCAAAAGTGAAATTCGAAAAAAAGATGGTTGAACATGTGGCGCAGTTACTCTGCGCTGTGTGATATTTGCGGCCGATAGCCACTACCGTTGTGCGACCATGCTCGCCAGCGAAGGGCGAGCTCAACTGCCCATAGAAAATTGCCACTAGCAACTACATCAAGCCATTGAAGCCGCCACACAATCAACCTACAACGGCTAGAAATCCCAAACAATTGGAACCCGACTTCAATCATCAAAATAGCAATAATCCACAAAAAAAAAAAAAAATTGCGAAATTTCTAGGGTAGCTCACGATTGCATAAAGAAGAAAATGGGTTTTGCTTTGTTCTTTTTCTTTTTCTTCAAGTAGAGGATGAGAAAAAGATATTTGCTACATTGACTTATTTGGTGACAAAGTTATATTTTAATTGTTTAATATGTAAGCTTTTAGTGAAGTGACTTTATTGCCCTTCTCACGTTAAAGTTAACGGTTTTCGTTCAGCAAGGGGTGGAAAATTGTATTTCTCAAAGTTTTGGGGTGGGAAATGTAAGTACGCCAAACCTTGGGTGAGAAAATAATTCCCCCGAAAGAATACTATTGGAGTTATTGTGTTGCCCCTGCTTCATATAGTTTTATGAAAAACCATTACTGGTTCTTATGTTAAGTTTAGACCTAATCGAATACAATTAGTAGAAGAAATGAATAAAAGGAGCAGCAGAAGGGTAAATAGGCATCGAGAAAGAAGTGAGGAAAAGGGGAGGTAGCTGGCCCTCGAAGTCCAGCATATCAGTTTCTATTATGTTCTAGCTTGGTTTCTCTTATTTTCAGTGTAGTTAATTAAATCCAGTAGTTCTTTATTTGAGAGATGGTCTAGAGTGGTGTAAACTGATTATCAATGAAATACTTCTCTTATGTTATTCTGGAACTCTAGAGGTTGCTATAAACTGCTGTTTGTTTCGATTATGAGCTATTGTATGTGTGAGTGATTGAGAAATCTGGGTAGGTTCGCAACAGTATCCCTATTAGTTAAACATAGGGATAATTTCTTATTTATGTTTGGAGAGAGATATCACTGAAAACAAGATGAAAGTAAACAGGAACAAGATTCAGAAAGACAACTTTCATACAATAGACTGATGCATCAACTAAGAAACTCATATGGAGCGGGCTAATGGCCTGTCCAAATTGGTAATTATATTTATAGTCAGAGGGCATCTGTGAATGTAACCACCCAAGAGAACGATTCAGTAAACTATAGCAAATCATTAACTCTTGAAACATGCATAACCATCTGCATGAATGCATGTGTACTTTTCACTATAAGAATGAATAAACAAATAATTTGCTCCTAACCTTGATTAGTCCTTCTTGAAATAATATCTCAATCACTTCTTTCAGTATGGGAAGTAAGCCAGAATGATGCACACCAATTCCACGTTTCAAAAGGGGTAACATATTTGAAACCTGTGTACAAACAATATACAGCAACATGATAATTAAAATCTTTGCTAAAAACAAAGTAGACATGTCTACACACTAAACTAAAATACAATAAGGTGGTATTGGTACAGCCACTAAAAGCAATTGTTTTTAGCAATAACAACTTTAAACATTGAGAAAACACAGGGTAACTATTAAACATCATCCTCCCTTGTAAAAGAATAACAGGATCACCTGTTCTATACACATGATACTGTTAAATAGAACACTAAAATCCATCAAAGATGGGATGTGGAATTAAAGAGGAATACCTAAATTTGGCTTCAGAAATCAGATAGAATTAAATTCTCATTCACTAAACAACAAATGGTATGACAGTTGATAAACTTATACTAATAATCAAAATTTTCTCATGTCTAATAGGAGGATCCAAATCCAAATAATGCAGGACTCCCTTCTATAATAATTTGCTCAAGAATCTCTCCTTCAATCACACAACCATTAACCACTCAATTCAACCACCAAAAATGTTCCAGAATAAATACCCTTAACCAGATATTTTATTGACACACACTCACATTCAACGCCAGCAGACAGAAACACAAGAAGGCATGCAATTTGGAATAAGAGGAATGACGACTTGCCTGAGGTAGCTTCTTATCGTCGTCTGAAAGCATGTCCATGGCACTCCAATATATTGTTTCTATGTTCACTTTCTCATCATCTTCAGTTAGATCCATTTTTGCCATCTATGATAGGAAACAAAAAAAAGAATGATAATCAAGAATTCTCATATCCAGAAAAGTACAGACATGTCATGGATCTTTAATGCAAATACAAACAAAATAAAAGTGACAACAATGTATTTTATTAGAGAAAAGAGGGCTTTTGAGCAATCAATTAAGCCCTTTTTCTGTATTAGCTAAAGGTTAAGGGCCTTCTTCATCTTCCAATAGATACGTGAAAAAGGAAAAGCATTGGATTCTGCATCAAATTTCAGTACGAGACAAAAGGAGGAGAAGGTACAGTGAGCAGGTAAATGACTCCAATGTTAGGTTGAGGCAAATTTAAAAAGATTTCACACACTATATCATAGATTACGCTAAATAAGCATCTTGACTTACAAATAAATCAGAGCTTGAGGATATAGGTCGCATGCTTTAAAGTCTGACTCAACCAGAAATGACATCAATAGCTAAAAACATTGACCAAGATAAAACTGTTTAGGTCTGAAGATGATGTATAGATAGGAGCATGCATATGCAATCTTCACCACCAAAAAGAGAGAGAAGGGGAAAAAAAGGAAATATTAGAAAAGGAAGCAACTAACCTGCATTGCGAGAAATTCACAATCCCTTTTGCTAAAACTGAAAATTATGACAGGGTCATACTGACGCTGAATAATCATTTTGACCATCTTGAAGATGTCACTTTCCTCACCAACTTTGCCTGATACTGAACCTTTATGTCGCTTCCCATTCTCTCTTTTCTTGTCACCCTCACCAGTGGGGACTAGTGCATTTAACGCTTTATGAAAGCTGTCCTCGCGAAATTTCCCCTTTTCATCCACCACTAAGTATAGACCATGACCTCCAGCAGGGAAAATGTAGTGCTGAAGGGGTGTTGGTCGATAGTCGGTATAAACAATGTGACATGGTTGTTGGTGGACCTGCATCAAAAACACCACAACAAGCAAGCAATATTTCCATTAACAGCTCAAATAAACTAATTTGATCAAATGAGTGATCTGAAATAAGAGAACAGGGATCAATAATTGCACAGAGATGATATAAACTGACAATTCTTATGGTCTTCCCATTCCAGGTTTTAGAGAAAATATTTCAAGTTTCTCTTCTAGATTAGATAAAAGCAAAGTCATCACTGTTAACAGGAAACAACCCATATGTTGCTCAATATACTCTACTCTTCTGAAGACAAGGACGATGTGAGCACTAACAAGCATCGTAGATAGTTTTAAGTAAAACAGATGATAAAGACTTCTTTTTACAGGTTTCAATAAGAAATATGGTAAACAAATTCAGGAATGGCTTGAGTAAATCACCTTTGCAACCCAATCAGCAAATTCCTTTGCATTTGGCACAGTTGCCGAGAGGAATACAAATTGAGAGTTCTTAGGGGCCATAACAATGCTCTCTTCCCATACCACACCTCGCTCCCGATCACGCATGTAGTGTACCTCATCAAATATGACCCAAGCCACCTCTCGCGTAACTTCCGAACCTTTATATTGCATGCTACGCCAGATTTCAGTAGTCATCACCTGAAAGTAAACTACATATAAGCAGTCCATAGATTAAATTGCTTCAAAAGACAAAAACTGATATTACCAATATGACCTACCAAACAAGAAGCATTTGGATCAATTGTTACATCCCCAGTCATCAAACCAACATCTGAAAACTCTTCTTTAAACTCCCTATACTTTTGGTTGCTAAGTGCCTTAATTGGTGAAGTATATATGACCCGTTGCTTATTCCGCAACGACATAGCAATTGCATACAATGCTACTACTGTTTTCCCAGCTGAAGTATGGGCTGATACCTATCAAAACAACGATACCAAGCAATTTATATTATGAAAAAAGAATACCTCATTAATTTCAAATTCAAGCTCACTTCTAACATCAACAAAAGCACTTCCAAAAAGTCAAAACCGCAGTAAAAAGTAAAGCATGGAGAAGCACTTGAAGGTGCACTTCAATTGAGTACTAGTAATTTTCAAGTAAAACAATACCTAAATTAGTAAAAACACTTGAATTTTTCTTTGGAGAAGCAATTGATAACTGCTTTCGAAACAACGCTCTACGTAATTTCACAGAAAGCAGTTTTCACCATTCTACAAAAGAACTCCCAAACCCAAATTAAATTTCATAAGGGTGGGGCTACTTGCATCCAAAAAAAAAACCCTACACACCCATTTTGCTAACCACACACGGTAACACTATTACTACAACTATAGATATGATTTCTTTAATCAACTTCCAACAAAAAAATTCGTTTTCATTGAGTATTATATCCAATTAAGCACTAATCTGTCAATTTAGTGGTAGAATTACGAAAGTATACAAACTAAAATCTATTTAAATTCTTAGTACAGAGTTTCCTTAGAAAAATAAGTATTGAGAGTCGGTTTCTTCATCGTAAATAGTCCCACTCTTTAAAAAATTATAGTTTTCAACACAAAAGCTCATACATATATACAAAACCAAGCAATAACCAAACGAATAATCAATCAAAACCATAAAAGCAAATAAATAAACAAATTAAAAACGAACTAACCATAACCGACTCGCCATTATCGAGACACTTAATAGCTTCGGATTGGAAGGGGTCGAGAGTGAAAGGGAACTCCTTTGCTGGTTTGGACTCATCTTGAGTTCCGGTGGCAGTTGTTGTAGTTGAAGTCGGCTCATAACCTGGCGGATACGACACGTCGTGTAAGCAAGTAACAGTTTTTTCGACCAAAACGGCGCCGTTTGAGTTCTCACTTTGGTGCTTCTGTGGCGGTGTTGAGCCCGACGGCTCTTCAATTGACTTCCTCTTTAGTGGATTCATTGTTTAACAAAGAGTTTAAGTGAAGAATTGAATAGGGAACCCTAAATGAATCAAATTTGGATTATAAACTCTAAACGGTTCGTCGTGGTCACGTGGTGGCCCGTACGCGGCGTGCGGCGGAGGCGAACGATTTTGGTGAGCGAGGAAGGAGGCGACAGTGAAGAGTGGTTTGATTGAGCGGCGTGGAAATTTAGGGAATGTTAGTCTAGCTTACGAAAATTAGCAAGTGATTTAACCATTTGAAATTTAAACAATTACGTGTTTGGTTAAAATACTTATAGGTAGTTAACGTGTTTGATAAAATATAGTTTATAAGTATATTTTATTATAAAATAACTAAAAATAATATTATATTAAATAAAGATATAATATAAAATTTTAAAATTAAACAAAGATAATGTGGTAATAGTACCTTTTTTTTTTTGTTTATAAGCTCAACTTATAAACTCCAAAAAGTTAAAAACAAACAGGTTAGCTTAATTTTAGAGCTTATAAGCTAGTTTGACCAGTTTATAAGCTTAGACAAACACCCCCTTAACTGGCATACCTCCTACATTTGCATTTAAAAAAATAACCTTGCAAATATTTTACAATTTTTTTGAAGTTAAAAAAACTGACGTGGCGCACTTACGATTTATTAAACATGTAAAATGGATTAAACTGAAAAAATTTAAATATATGTAGATAATATTATAATTAACGGAAGTTTATTTAAATTTTAAAAATTAAAAACGACCCCCACCCGTCAAAATCGCTTAATCGAGCCATATACCTAAAGAATGACCGATGAACACCTTTGATTTCTCTACGATTTCCAACGATAAAAGTGTCCTATTTCCGGCAAATATTTGATCATAAAGCTTCCTTACACAAAATCATGGCTGGTATTCACAAAGAGGAGGAAAACCCAACCCCACTCCAAATCCTAGACTCCGACGGCGGCGACTATTCAAACGTTGTCGAAGAAGACGCTCCGGTGGATCATCCGATGAGTCAAGGTGGTCCAGAGGCAGAAGAGACAACAGCAGCACAAGAATAGAGAGAAGAATCGAAAAATGGTTCTGAAGAGGAGGACGTCGGCGAGAATTCAGGTGAGGAGGAGGACGCTGGTGAAGAAAGGGTACGTTTTTTACTTGTGATTTTGAATTTGATGAGAAATTTGATTGATTTGTGCGAATTTGGAGGATATGTAGTTGGTTTTATTGTTACAGTGGTTATGGCGTTTTATCGAGCAGTTGGCCGGGATCGAGAGAGTGGCTTTGTTTGGGTTCCAAAGGATGGGGGAAGGCAAGAGAGGCCGTAGGGAGGTTGTTTGTGGGAGGTTGGAGGGCTGGGGATAGCAGGAGGTGGCAAAATAGGGGGCCTAGAGGGTTGCCCTGCATATTGCGTGGCCAGCCCCCTTATTCCGCCACCTCCTGCCATCCTCAACCCTTAAACCTCATGGAACCTGCCACAACATTGGGCATATGGATCCTTTTTGACTGACCAGAACCTAATCAAAGTCATTGTTGATGTTGTCATCAAAAAGTATGAAAGTTGGACTTAGAAGTTTGTAGTTTATGTGATGTTGTCTAATTGGGTTGTCTTGAATAATTGGATTGTCTTGAACTAGATCAGCTGGTGTTGTTAGGCGTCAGGTTGTTGATACTTGGGTTATGGTGTTATGTATGCTTTATGGCCAAGGCCAAGGTTGGATAATGTTAGAAAGGGTGTTGTAGAAGAATACGGAGAGGTTGTTGTTGTTGCTGTTGATGCTGAAGGTGAGCTGGATAATTTTGGAGGATAGGGAAGTGGTTGGAGAGAATGATGAAGAGGGGGGATGGAGGCTTCCAGCCCTGCTTTTGTTTTGAGTGTACGTAGGACATTTATTTGTTGTATATAATGTTGTAATTTAATGTAATTGACACATTTCAAATTTGTACAAAAGCAATTCAGTATTTCTTTCCCTCTTTTGAGTTTGAGTTTATTTAGTATTCTTGTTACATGGCATTGATGTGTGGATGCAATTAGGTTGTCAAATTCAGGAGAAAATATGGAATTAATATGTGTTGGTGATTTAAGTTTGTCAAAATTCAAGAGAAAAGCTGGAAAAAACAAGGGGGACTAGTGCATTTAACGCTTTATGAAAGCTGTCCTCGCGAAATTTCCCCTTTTCATCCACCACTAAGTATAGACCATGACCTCCAGCAGGGAAAATGTAGTGCTGAAGGGGTGTTGGTCGATAGTCGGTATAAACAATGTGACATGGTTGTTGGTGGACCTGCATCAAAAACACCACAACAAGCAAGCAATATTTCCATTAACAGCTCAAATAAACTAATTTGATCAAATGAGTGATCTGAAATAAGAGAACAGGGATCAATAATTGCACAGAGATGATATAAACTGACAATTCTTATGGTCTTCCCATTCCAGGTTTTAGAGAAAATATTTCAAGTTTCTCTTCTAGATTAGATAAAAGCAAAGTCATCACTGTTAACAGGAAACAACCCATATGTTGCTCAATATACTCTACTCTTCTGAAGACAAGGACGATGTGAGCACTAACAAGCATCGTAGATAGTTTTAAGTAAAACAGATGATAAAGACTTCTTTTTACAGGTTTCAATAAGAAATATGGTAAACAAATTCAGGAATGGCTTGAGTAAATCACCTTTGCAACCCAATCAGCAAATTCCTTTGCATTTGGCACAGTTGCCGAGAGGAATACAAATTGAGAGTTCTTAGGGGCCATAACAATGCTCTCTTCCCATACCACACCTCGCTCCCGATCACGCATGTAGTGTACCTCATCAAATATGACCCAAGCCACCTCTCGCGTAACTTCCGAACCTTTATATTGCATGCTACGCCAGATTTCAGTAGTCATCACCTGAAAGTAAACTACATATAAGCAGTCCATAGATTAAATTGCTTCAAAAGACAAAAACTGATATTACCAATATGACCTACCAAACAAGAAGCATTTGGATCAATTGTTACATCCCCAGTCATCAAACCAACATCTGAAAACTCTTCTTTAAACTCCCTATACTTTTGGTTGCTAAGTGCCTTAATTGGTGAAGTATATATGACCCGTTGCTTATTCCGCAACGACATAGCAATTGCATACAATGCTACTACTGTTTTCCCAGCTGAAGTATGGGCTGATACCTATCAAAACAACGATACCAAGCAATTTATATTATGAAAAAAGAATACCTCATTAATTTCAAATTCAAGCTCACTTCTAACATCAACAAAAGCACTTCCAAAAAGTCAAAACCGCAGTAAAAAGTAAAGCATGGAGAAGCACTTGAAGGTGCACTTCAATTGAGTACTAGTAATTTTCAAGTAAAACAATACCTAAATTAGTAAAAACACTTGAATTTTTCTTTGGAGAAGCAATTGATAACTGCTTTCGAAACAACGCTCTACGTAATTTCACAGAAAGCAGTTTTCACCATTCTACAAAAGAACTCCCAAACCCAAATTAAATTTCATAAGGGTGGGGCTACTTGCATCCAAAAAAAAAACCCTACACACCCATTTTGCTAACCACACACGGTAACACTATTACTACAACTATAGATATGATTTCTTTAATCAACTTCCAACAAAAAAATTCGTTTTCATTGAGTATTATATCCAATTAAGCACTAATCTGTCAATTTAGTGGTAGAATTACGAAAGTATACAAACTAAAATCTATTTAAATTCTTAGTACAGAGTTTCCTTAGAAAAATAAGTATTGAGAGTCGGTTTCTTCATCGTAAATAGTCCCACTCTTTAAAAAATTATAGTTTTCAACACAAAAGCTCATACATATATACAAAACCAAGCAATAACCAAACGAATAATCAATCAAAACCATAAAAGCAAATAAATAAACAAATTAAAAACGAACTAACCATAACCGACTCGCCATTATCGAGACACTTAATAGCTTCGGATTGGAAGGGGTCGAGAGTGAAAGGGAACTCCTTTGCTGGTTTGGACTCATCTTGAGTTCCGGTGGCAGTTGTTGTAGTTGAAGTCGGCTCATAACCTGGCGGATACGACACGTCGTGTAAGCAAGTAACAGTTTTTTCGACCAAAACGGCGCCGTTTGAGTTCTCACTTTGGTGCTTCTGTGGCGGTGTTGAGCCCGACGGCTCTTCAATTGACTTCCTCTTTAGTGGATTCATTGTTTAACAAAGAGTTTAAGTGAAGAATTGAATAGGGAACCCTAAATGAATCAAATTTGGATTATAAACTCTAAACGGTTCGTCGTGGTCACGTGGTGGCCCGTACGCGGCGTGCGGCGGAGGCGAACGATTTTGGTGAGCGAGGAAGGAGGCGACAGTGAAGAGTGGTTTGATTGAGCGGCGTGGAAATTTAGGGAATGTTAGTCTAGCTTACGAAAATTAGCAAGTGATTTAACCATTTGAAATTTAAACAATTACGTGTTTGGTTAAAATACTTATAGGTAGTTAACGTGTTTGATAAAATATAGTTTATAAGTATATTTTATTATAAAATAACTAAAAATAATATTATATTAAATAAAGATATAATATAAAATTTTAAAATTAAACAAAGATAATGTGGTAATAGTACCTTTTTTTTTTTGTTTATAAGCTCAACTTATAAACTCCAAAAAGTTAAAAACAAACAGGTTAGCTTAATTTTAGAGCTTATAAGCTAGTTTGACCAGTTTATAAGCTTAGACAAACACCCCCTTAACTGGCATACCTCCTACATTTGCATTTAAAAAAATAACCTTGCAAATATTTTACAATTTTTTTGAAGTTAAAAAAACTGACGTGGCGCACTTACGATTTATTAAACATGTAAAATGGATTAAACTGAAAAAATTTAAATATATGTAGATAATATTATAATTAACGGAAGTTTATTTAAATTTTAAAAATTAAAAACGACCCCCACCCGTCAAAATCGCTTAATCGAGCCATATACCTAAAGAATGACCGATGAACACCTTTGATTTCTCTACGATTTCCAACGATAAAAGTGTCCTATTTCCGGCAAATATTTGATCATAAAGCTTCCTTACACAAAATCATGGCTGGTATTCACAAAGAGGAGGAAAACCCAACCCCACTCCAAATCCTAGACTCCGACGGCGGCGACTATTCAAACGTTGTCGAAGAAGACGCTCCGGTGGATCATCCGATGAGTCAAGGTGGTCCAGAGGCAGAAGAGACAACAGCAGCACAAGAATAGAGAGAAGAATCGAAAAATGGTTCTGAAGAGGAGGACGTCGGCGAGAATTCAGGTGAGGAGGAGGACGCTGGTGAAGAAAGGGTACGTTTTTTACTTGTGATTTTGAATTTGATGAGAAATTTGATTGATTTGTGCGAATTTGGAGGATATGTAGTTGGTTTTATTGTTACAGTGGTTATGGCGTTTTATCGAGCAGTTGGCCGGGATCGAGAGAGTGGCTTTGTTTGGGTTCCAAAGGATGGGGGAAGGCAAGAGAGGCCGTAGGGAGGTTGTTTGTGGGAGGTTGGAGGGCTGGGGATAGCAGGAGGTGGCAAAATAGGGGGCCTAGAGGGTTGCCCTGCATATTGCGTGGCCAGCCCCCTTATTCCGCCACCTCCTGCCATCCTCAACCCTTAAACCTCATGGAACCTGCCACAACATTGGGCATATGGATCCTTTTTGACTGACCAGAACCTAATCAAAGTCATTGTTGATGTTGTCATCAAAAAGTATGAAAGTTGGACTTAGAAGTTTGTAGTTTATGTGATGTTGTCTAATTGGGTTGTCTTGAATAATTGGATTGTCTTGAACTAGATCAGCTGGTGTTGTTAGGCGTCAGGTTGTTGATACTTGGGTTATGGTGTTATGTATGCTTTATGGCCAAGGCCAAGGTTGGATAATGTTAGAAAGGGTGTTGTAGAAGAATACGGAGAGGTTGTTGTTGTTGCTGTTGATGCTGAAGGTGAGCTGGATAATTTTGGAGGATAGGGAAGTGGTTGGAGAGAATGATGAAGAGGGGGGATGGAGGCTTCCAGCCCTGCTTTTGTTTTGAGTGTACGTAGGACATTTATTTGTTGTATATAATGTTGTAATTTAATGTAATTGACACGTTTCTTATTTGTACAAAAGCAATTCAGTATTTCTTTCCCTCTTTTGAGTTTGAGTTTATTTAGTATTCTTGTTACATGGCATTGATGTGTGGATGCAATTAGGTTGTCAAATTCAGGAGAAAATATGGAATTAATATGTGTTGGTGATTTAAGTTTGTCAAAATTCAAGAGAAAAGCTGGAAAAAATATGTATTGTCCATGATCGCTTAAGAGATATGTGAACGACTACATAAATCGCTTAAGCGACCAAAGGTTTTCTATACAGGATCGCTTAAGCTAGAAAATAAACCGCTTAAGCGATTGTGCATCTAGGAACATCTAGATTCTGCCATGGACATGATTGCTTAAGCGATTCATGATCACTTAAGCGACCAAGGGTAAAAGTGAAGAATTGCTTAAGTGAGACAATAAATCACTTAAACGATCGTACATATGGACATATCTTGATTCTACCTTGGACTTGATCGCTTAAGCGATCTTAAATCACTTAAGCGACCAAGGGTAAAAGTGAAGAATCACTTAAGCAAGACAATAAATCGCTTAAGTGATCGTGCATCTAAATAGATCTTGATTTTGCTTTGCACTTGATCGCTTAAGCGACCAAGGGTAAAAGTGAAGAAACGCTTAAGCGAGACTATAAATCGCTTAAGTGATCGTGCATCTCGACAGATCTTGATTCTACCTTAGACTTGATCGCTTAAGCAACCAGTGGTAAAAGTGAAAAAAAGCATAAATCGCTTAAGTGATCATGCATCTAGGCAGATCTTGATTCTGCCTTGGACTTGATCGCTTAAGAAATCCCAAATCGCTTAAGCGACTAAGGGTAAAAGTGAAGAATCGCTTAAACGAGACCATAATCACTTAAGCAATCGTGCATCTAGGCAGATATTGATTCTGCCTTGCACATGATTGCTTAAGCGATCTCAAATCGCTTAAGCAACCAAGGGTAAAAGCAAAGAATCGCTTAAGCAAGACAGTAAATTGCTTAAGCAATCGTGCATCTGGGTAGATCTTGATTCTACCTTGCATGTGATCGCTTAAGCGACCAAGGGTAAAAGTGAAGCATCGCTTAAGTGATCGTGATTCTGGCTTGTACGTGATCACTTAAGCGACTGTACTAGATCGCTTAAGCGACTAAGGCTAAATATACATGATCACTTAAGCGAGACATGAAATCTCTTAAGCAATCCAGTATATTTAGATTATTTTTATTATGCCTTTCACAAGATTGCTTAAGCGATTTACATTATCGCTTAAGCGATGAAAGCTTATAAACACTAGATTGCTTAAGCAATTCGATTCCTCTTTTTTTTCTTTTTTTCTTTTTTTGAGTAGGTTGTCAATCCCATATTAAGTGACGTTAATGTGAACTTCGGACGTTCACAACATGACATGATTATTAACGTTAATGTTTAGCGACATCGGTTATTAACACTTATTAAGGCCAATTAAGAAGGATTATTTGCAACCTAATTCCATCAACACATATTAAGGTTACAACCGTATGATATATGAACGAATGTCATAGCGCACTGGCGTGACATGTTAGTAGAAACGTACCTCATTTCATAAATATGGATAATGTATTTGAGAATGATTAGATTGAAATAAGCTTCAATTTTTATTGTACGATTAGTTTAGTGGATCATGATCTGTCTTGTGTCATTTGATTTGATTATTTATATCACTTAATCGATTTTTTTTCAAAATTATATTTTAATTAAACTAATTTTTTTACATTTGTACATACAACATGGAAAAGAAATATTAAAGTATAAAATGATTCTATATAATACAAATTTTAATGTTTATAAAGTACCAAAGTAAATTACCCTTAATCGCTTAAGTGATATATGATTTCGCTTAAGCGATCCTGTCTATTTAGCCTTGGTCGCTTATGCGATAATAAATCGCTTACACGATCTTGTCAAGGCAGAATATAGGTCATCCGACTATACTGGATCGCTTAAGCGATTTTAGGTCTCTCTTAAGCGATCCAGTATATTTAGCTTTAGTTGCTGAAGCGATCATATCCAGTCGTTTAAACGATTACGTACAAGCCAGGATCAAGATCACTTAAGCGATGTTTCACTTTTACCCTTGGTTGCTTAAGCGATCATGTCCAAGGCAGAATCAAGTCACCCCAGGTGCATGATCGCTTAAGCGATTTAAGGTCTCGCTGAAGTTATTTTTCATTTTTACTCTTGGTCGCTTAAGCGATCGTAGATCAAGGTAGAATCAAGATCACTTAAGCGATCATAGATCAAGGTAGAATCAAGATCACTTAAGCGATTCTTCACTTTTGATGAATCGCTTAAGCGACCAAGGTCATTTTGCTTCTTATCTCACCGATCTTTGATATTGTGCACGTTTGAGTAAGAAATTATATTTCGTATTGTGGGTGAGCTCTATATTCAATCATAACCATCCATATTTGTGAAATGAGATACGTTTCTACTAACATGCCAAACTCGTGACTAATTCAGTAAATTGATTGATCGATTGACTTAATACGACAATTATGTTGATAATATTTATTTTGCCTATCTTACTTCTTTGGGCAGCAATCATTGTCGTACAGAGGTAATATGCAAAATTTTACTTACTTAAACCCTTTTTAAAATGGATGAAAATGAAAAATAATTAATTTGATTTAATACGTTATAAAAGATGATTTATTTAAGGTAATAATTAAATTTAAAACATAAAAAGTTGAAAACAACAACTCTTCAACGGTTGACCTTGGCAACTCTCTCGATTTCATCATTCTTCTTGATGACATAGCTGGAAATACACGGACATAAAATTAGTTTAATTCACCACAAAAGAGAAACGTAATAACTTCATTAGATCGCTTAAGCGATCTGCTTGTCAGATCTGCATATAAAAAAAGATCGCTTAAGCCATCTGGTGGTCACCAGATCTGATCTGAGCAGCAAATCGCTTAAGCGATCTAGTGTTCAGATCTGATCTGAGCAGCAGATCATTTAAGCGATCTAATATTCAAATATGCAGATAAGAGTAGATCTTAGGTCGTTTAAACGATTTGCAGATAACAACCGATCGCTTAAGCGATCTTATGTCGTTTAAGCGATCCGATCTTATCTGCAGATTACTTACTTTCTTGCTACGATCAGTTCAAACCTAATTTTCTAGATCTGCATGTGATCAATTTTGGAAACTGCTTCTCTTGTGGCCAGGTTGCTTGCAAATTGAGCATTTATTCATCCTCCGG